TATATATATATATATGTCTATATACATGCATGTATATGTGTATGCGTAGTTGTGCATATATATATATATACACACAAACAGACAGATAAATAAATATAAATATATACTATATACATATATTTATCTATCTATCTATCAGTATATATATATATACATATGTAAATATGGATGTACCTGTAGTAGCGTCGATTGTGTTGGACTAGATATAGATGATCTGACATTACCTACCTCCTAAACTTTCCTAAACTCCAAGCGACTCACTGCCAAGGGCTGCCGTGGCGTCTTCGCTGATTGCTTTGGTGGCACTTGGTGTGGGAGCCTCTGATGGCGCGTGCATTGCCGATGGAGTGTGGTTGCTTGCCGATGTGTATGTTTGGCTGCGAGTTCCATCATCATGCTGACGGCTTTGCGAGCTGCAGGTCGTTGGGAGCATGTGCAACAATGCGCAGCTGTACAGCGGTCCTGGCCTGTTGCTTGATGCTTCAGCAGGGCAGTGATCCACAAAGGGCACCCTTGACGCAGTCAATGCCTGAATGTGAGCTGACACCGTGCGGCAGAACAGGATGCAGCAACTGCCGTACAACATACTGTACGGCAAAGCATTCCGACCCGGCAAATCAACATGCGCGTGTAAGTGAGCTCATGCAACAGAGTTTAGTAGCGATACATAACTAAGTTATACACAGACATAGATGTGTATAGATATTTAAAGATACAGACATACATACATCAATGCTTACACACATACATACGTACATACATACATACATGCCTGTACATACACATGCATATATACATGTATGTGGCTGTATACTTCTATGTACATGTATATATATATATATATACACATATGTACACATATACAGCCAGGTGTCCTGAGCTTAGTAGTAACAGACATTGGCAGCTGAATCTACACCGAGCAGAGCTCGAGTAGGCCTTCCCCCTCTGTAGGATGGCTGTAGGGTTTAGGGTTTAGCGTTACTCTAGAACGTATATGGGAGTTTCCGAAAATAGGAGTACCTTATTTAGGGGTCCTTATAATAAGGATCCTACTATTTAGGGTCCTATATTAGGGTCCCCTGTTTTCGGAAACTCCCATATGAACCTCAACCGCACACCGCAGGTTTTTCGTTGCAGAACAGAACACAAAATTACGCTGTGCGACACGACGATGTGCCACGTCTCAGCCTGCAGCACATTGAAACATGTTGCTGCAGCCTGATGTGAAGTCCGTGCTTATGATTATGCCATAGACTGCCAAATCCTGCTGGACTCCTGGCTGGCACAGACGCACGACATGTGTAGACAGCAGGGTCTTACTGCGACCGTAGCCACTCGCCGACGGTCTTAAGAAGGGCCCTTCCACGCCAGGTCGGGCGCGCTTATATGGGCTGCCGCTGCGTGTCGCGCACATTGCGGCATCGGCCTCAGCGAACTCACGGTTTGTCGCAGTTGCAGGTTGTTCCTCCAAGGAATCGGGTTTCAGCGACGACCTTTGCATCGGCAGGCTTTCTTCATCGGCTTGACAGGGCAAAGTCAGCCTGGAGTATCCTGTGCCTGGGGACACCCCAGCGAGCCTAATTACTAGCAACAAACAACGAGTGGTTGTGCTAGTGGTAGAGTGACAGTTGCAGCAGCGGCAGCAGCAAAAGCATCAACAGCAGCAGTGTCAAATTAGCTCGCCGACTCGGTTCTGCACTCTCCGAAGCTTACACCCCGACAGTTTAAGACTACAGAACATAAGCCTGGCAAGTTGTGTGCAGTCACACTCAAGCCTTTCCCCAGAAAGCTGAGACATAACGAACGGTACAGAACACCAGCAGTTGTCCCGGCTGTAGCCAAATACTATCTCACGGAAGTGGGGCTCCCGAAGCCTAGAAATACGTGTTGCCCCTCAGGTCCTGATCATCGTCTTCATCGGAGGAGTATGGGATACTATGGCCCTCTTCGGTCGGGGCCCGGGTGCTTCATGGTGCGGAATGGCAACAGGGTGTTGAGACACAGCATTCAGGGTGAAATCTTGTGTTTCGTCGGCCCATGTGGGATTTCAGGTTAAAGTCGCAAGGTGTGAGGACAACGGGCTCGAGGGTGAAAAAGCCTGAGGGTATCGTGGTTGAATCAACACGAATCAATCATCTGCTATTCCTGCATAATTGTTGGAGCTGCTGCGTTAAGGAACGTGGGTAGTTGCTACTCTTTTCACAAGTCTCTTCCTAGAAGGTGCAGCCATTGTAGTGCACAGGCAGGTGTCAACCGCATAAACGGGAGACCCAAGCCAAAAGAAACGGACTGACGCGGCCGCCAAGCCTCAAACTCATAATTTGTTGCCTGCCCATCTTCCACTCGAAGCCACTCGAAGCAAGGCTTCGCGACGACATTTCTGTTCATTATCCTCGACATTGTTCGCAACCGAGCTCTTGTATGTGTGTGTGCATACATACATGCATGCATGCATACATGATATATACAGTACGTATGTATGTACGTACGCATGTATGTATGTGTGTCTGTGTGTGTATGTTTGCATGTATGTATGTAAGTATGTGTGCGCTTGTACGTGTGTGTGTTTGTATGTATATGTCTGAATATACTTGTATGTGTTTGTATGCATGTACTTGTGTGTATGCGTTTGTATGTACGTATGTATGTATGTATGTATGTATGTGTATGTATGTGTGTGTATGTATTTGTATGTATCTGTACGTATGTGTATGTATGTATGTACTTGTATGTGTTTGTAATATGTATTTGTATGTATTCGTGTGCGCGGGGTCATCTTGCAATGCATGGGATGTTTTATCGGGCGTCTTCGTTTCTGCCAGGCCTGAGGCACATGATCAGTTTACCTGCGACACTGCGGATGCTTCAGGCTGAGGTTTCTCTTGAAAAGCGTTAGTCTGTTCGACGCAGAGTACTAGCAGCAACTCTTGCTGACAATGTAGGTTGGTGCAATGTGTACATACGCATACATGCTGTACAAATAGTCACAAGCATACAACAGTGCACATATAAATATGTATATGTATGCGCATAGGCAAATAGGCACCTCTATGTACATACATTATATTATATACATACTTCTATGTATATACGTACTTGTGCATTTATGTAACTGTTTATGTGCTTATCGTTCACTGGTGTCTTTAGTTCTTCATGTTTTTCCTTCCTGTTTCATGTTTCAACATCTTGACCCGTTTGTGAGTTTGTGAATTCGTTTGGGTTCACGCAATATATGTATATGTATATGTATATGTATATGGAGAAGGAGATATACGAGCCTTGCAGCATCTGCAGTCATGACAGTGCATGTTGTCGGGGCAATACTAAAAGCAAGACAGCCAGAGTAGGCTTAGGCACCACACGAAGCAAGTGTTGCAACTCTATAGTCTCCGTGGCAATGGTAACTATTACGATAAGTCGCCAAGAAATCAGTTGTCTCGTCTCCGTCCCCTGAACCCCGCATCACCCCTCCGTGCTCGCCCGCTTCGGCCGGTTAGTTTTGTGACGTTGCCTTTAGACCCAGCTCGTCGCCGTAGGGTCCGCCATACGAGCCGACGTTGTCGTCCGCCTTCCTCTGTCTGCTCCCTCTGCCAGGAAATCTACGGGTGAGGAGTAGATGTGGTGGCTGAGGTGGCGAATACGTTCCCTGACCAGCATCGCTAGGAATCAGATGATGACGAAGATACATATATATGTATATATAACTGCCATGGATATGTATAGATCGCAGTTCCGACGACAAAGGCATCACCCTGATGCAGGACTGGCACTTGCACATGCTGGAACCTAACATGTAACTGTAAGATTTACGCACTGGTAAACACGACAAGCCACTTCCACAATTGGTGCCAACATCACAGCCACTGAGGTGCAGGGTGATCTTCGGATGCTTAGCAGTTACAGGCCTGATCCTCTGTTCGACAGCTTATGACACCTCAAGGTTCCGAGTCTTCGTAGCTCGAGGGGCAGGCAGTAGAGATTGAAGATAGCCGCCTTCGATTGTTTGTGTTTGTTGGAGGCTAAACCGACAGATTCGCAAAGTACTGGCCAACACAGGATTGGAGGATGCTGGATGCATGATCGTTTCAGCTCGATCTTATTCAGAGCTATTGCATCTGCATTTTTCCGAGGTTTCGGTTTACAAGCTTTCCGAGGACTGGTCAGAGCTTTCCTTCAAGCAGTTCTGGCACGGCATTGTGCAGGAAAGCTGCAGCAAGCGAAGTTACCGAAGATAGAGGAAGAAGAGGTGTCGACATGCATCGACATCGTTTCCGAAAACTCCCCCCGCCCTGCCCGTCACGCTCAGGCCTCGTGTTGCCCGATCATTTTACTGCATTATACCCTCAAAGCGGAGAAAATCGCATCCACCCGAAGATCACAGAAGCCTGAATCCGGCAACAGTGTGCTGCTTGTGCTGTCTATTGGATAGCCCTCATAGAATTTTAAAGGACTTGAGACCTTGCGACTCTTGCTGTACTGCTGTCAAGCTGTGCAGGTTCTGGTGTCGATACTCTATAGTTCGAGAGCTGCCGGGAGCTCGGCACTTTCCATATTCACAGATAGGGCTTTTCCAACACTCTGCTGCGTTTCGGGGGTTGCTCGTCCCTCTGTGTACACATTGAGATCTTGTTCAATATACATATGTATATGTATATGTGTACACATACACATGTATGTGTTTGTTTGTTCATTCGTCTTCATAGCGGCACCTGCATACATAGACAAGCCAGTAATACACATGTTTATGCAGGCATATATATATATGTATACATATAGATATTGATTATGTGTATACATTTTGCTGTGTGCCAACATGCAGAGAAACAGAGCGATGCGCCGGGGTAGTACCGAGCTTAGACAAAGGTGAAGCCCACAGTTCGAGATGCTCCGGGCAATGCCGGCTACCATCCCTGGCAACGTACTCTAAGGCATAGTTGTGCTGACATCTGTGCCACGACAGGTCCCTGTGGGAGGTTTGGGGGCTGCGAGAACACGGATCCATGGATCTTGCACATCCCACGACGCCCTGAACCCTTTTTTCAAACTAAGTCTGTATTTTTAAACCCACTCAGCACCCGCGACCAAGGCCCCTCCGCTGCTTCATTTGCCGGCGCCACGGAGCAGCGCACCTCGAAGAGCTGTCCGGATGCCTAGAAACGCTGGTTTGCTGCCGGGGTTTAGGGTTTAAGGTTAGGGTAGGGAGCAGGAGCTTCCTAGCAAGTCAAGTTTTTGTACACAGCTGGGCTTATGGCTCTGGAACATCTTTTTTTGTGTTATCGATGTTGCCATGTTTCCATTACTTGCAGGCTCAGGCATCAAGGGGAAACGAGGGCGGATGCCCAAACACCAGGTTCCCGGAAAATCTCCAGAAGATACCAAGGCCCGTCAAAGCTCCCGAAGAGAAACGCACCTGACACTAGACACTATAGGCATATACGATACAATGCTGTAGGGTGAATGGGGTTTAGGGGTTTAGGGGGTTAGTATTATCATACAGTAATTAAATATGTACTGTAAGACCAGGAGCCCGAAGAAAATGTCGGTTGCCCCCAACTGTGGGGTTTTGGCCTCTGCTCAGGCGAGGCCTACCCGAGAATCCCATGTCCCATGTCAAACCGTTAGCCTTGAAGTTTCCCGGGTGATAGAGAGCATCTACTATAGTAAGTTGTAGTAATAGTATTGTTATGTACTTCAGTATAGTATATCGGACCGCATACTATGGCATATGTTATAGTATGGTCGTATGCTCGAGTATATACAGTTTAATTGTTCATTACAAGTGTAAGGAATTCTGCATGTGGGATGCAGCTGAAAAGCTCGAAAGGGCGATTTTGCAATGTAGGCTCGAGGGACGGGTGGGGAGAAGGGAGACGAGGGGATTGATGGGGAGCCACAGCATCCATGGCCTCATGCCCTAGGAAGCCTAAAGAACGAAAGCGCCACGAGTGTTCATCTCTCGAAGTTCCAGCCTTTTCTTCCCAGAGACAGCCTAAAATAAAAAACCCCAACCAGGACCGGTCACCGGCAGAAGATTCCATCCACAGTTCACGGTTTGTCGCTGGGGTCCCCAGTTTTGTGCAGGTCTCTGGTCTTGCGCAAGTTACAGTGTGCAGAGGATGGGGTACTTCTGTCAATAACGCCGACCATATGACCTTAGCATGGATTTCGCGTGTACGTTTCAGTTCTCCCTAAAGGAGCATTGTGACGTGTTTGGCCTTAAGGTATTGTGGCGCCCTCATCTTTTCTAAGCCTGGCCCGACCTCGGCAAGCCCTAATCCCTAGTCGTAGAGCCTGTGACAGCAAAAGCCAGTCCCAGGCCTCCTTACCCATGATTTGTCGAGCTTCTCCGCCAGGTTTGGGGTTTAGGGTTTAGGGTTTAAGGGATAATAATAATGCCAATAATGAATAGTGTTTGGGGTTTTAGGGGGTTTGTTTATCAAGCTTGCCACCACTTGTGAATGGATCTCGAACGCGAAGCTCTGTGTGTTCCCCCTTGGTGAAGCTCGGTCCTGTATGTTGAGATACCGATCAGCGAGAAGCACCGTGTGACTAATAATTGCCGTAGTTGCTATTCCTCAGGGTTGTGTTTTGTAGCTATCATACTACAATATAACCTAACCCCCAAAGCTCTATTCAAACCATTAAGGCCCCCGTATTCGTTGCAACAAACGGAAGTCACAGGTTGCACATTGGAGATACGAGGCTTCTTCGCGTCATCTAATGCTCCCTTCTAGCTGCAGGACATTGAGCACGAAACGACCCGAGCCCAATTCAACACAACGTGATACAACAGAAACAAGAAAATGTAGTATTGTATCGTTATAATGACATACATGTTATGAGTACAGACAATGTCATACAGCATGAATAATGTCAGTCTGCCTCAGTCTTGCTGTGAGATCTTTCTGATTTGAGGACCTGGTTGTCAGAGTACTCCTACATCATCGAGCTCTGCCGCCTGCTCAGTCAGGCTTGAGCGTCCTACGCAGAATCAGAGCTTTAGGGTTCGGGGCTTAGGGTTGTTATGCACTTCGGCTTGCAGGCTTTTGGTTTTTGCCTGCTGAGGCCTCATAAGGGCATGAACACATAGATGATCGTTGCAATCAACAAGCCAGCAAAAGAAGCGAAGGGGTTCCCTGTCTATGGCAGCTATCATAGTAGCATGATTAATTGGCAACCCTCATTCGTTAGGTTTCCATGGTATAAGTTTACTATAATGTAACGCAGAAGCCTATCTCGGCCCTTTTCTGACTGCAAAGGCCCTTGTCTTGGACAGACTACCCGCGCGTCGACATTCAGATGTTGCCGAGCATGATGCAATTAACCTTTCCTGCTTCGCCTGCTTTTCAACATGCTTGCTAACTGTTCGGATGCAGGTTAATTTCTCATTGCACCTCGCATCTCCACGTGGTTCACACTCTCTAAGAAGATGAGTGCTTCTACAATTCTGTGTCGGCTTGTGCCTGAAACTGGCGCACAGAGAGTACATGCAGGAAGTGCATGCTCCCTCGACCCACGGCTCACTTGGAAAGCTCCGACCCGAAGCATGAGGTGGCACTCTTTGCACCCTCGAGCGGATTAGTCTCAAGGCAAGCTGGATGTGGGAGTTTGAGAGAAGAAGGCGCTAAGCATGTTAGGTTCAGGAGCGTAGTTTCTAGGATCCCTGCAACCCGAAAAACCCCCCTAAGCCCTAAACCCTAAAACTCCTAATCAGAAGCCACCGACTTCAAGCTATCAGGGGTTGGTCAGATCTCACGTCGCCTGCTGGAAGACCTGTGCTTACGCCTAAAGTGTCGGAAGGGTTGAGGCCCTAAGGTTTTGAGCTGTGCATTTTCCCTTTTCAATGCATTCGTTTCGGTGATCTGTGTCTAGTAAAGTTTAGTTCACATTATTGATTACTATGACTCTAGGTACGACACTGACAGCAGGCTCGCACGGGTCCTTGTTGGGGCCTTAGGCTGCCGAACTCTGGCCTCTTGCCCTTGCGCCCACAAGCTCTACAGCAGGAGTGGCGGCAGCTCATGATGGAAAATGACGGAAGGCTTTCGAACCTGCTGCACGTCAGCTTTGTTAGAGCGGTGCAGGTCAGCAGGTCGAGAACAATGCAGGGATTTTCTTCAGTATCTGGGTTGTTTGGCTTTCTTTTGGCCCTGCAAAAGCAGTAGCAGTAGCAGTAGTAGTGCTTGTAGTACTATCAGTACTAGTAGCAGTCGTCGTCGTAGTGTCATGTAGTGTCGTCGTCGCCGTAGCAGCAGCGGCAGCAGTAGAAATTGCAGTAGGTAGCTGCAGTAGCAATAGGAGGAGGCATGTTAGTAAGTACAAGTGCCAGGAGCCGCAGTATGTAGAGGAAGTGGCAGCGGTATGCGCTGCCGGTCGTTGATGTGTTATGCGGATGCCCTCTATACATACTTAGACCTTGAATGCCAGGCGTGTCCGCTTCGTGTCCATGGGGCTCTTCGACAAGAAGACCCCGACTATGTGGAACTTCTGTGAAGATTTCGAGGTGCCGTGGGAAGTCCCGTGTTTAGGCTTCGAGATGTGCACATGTGTCAGGCGTAAGTACAGGTGAGTCTAGGTATCGGAGTCCGGGCCGAAGACTTCTTGTTGCCTCTTTGGGCTACCAGACATAACTGACACCGAGTTCGTGATTTTCGGTTTAAGTCTAAAGTTTTCAGTTTTGTGGTTGGGCGCATGGAACCTGTGTTTCAGTTGCGGTTCATTCGCCCACCGGGAATATTTAACTACATTGCCCCAGTCCATTCTTGTTGCTGTGCGTTCGGATTCTCCGCCCAGGGAGTTCATGTGAGTGAGTACGTGAGTCCCAAGACCCACACATGTTTTTGGCTGATGCTCAGTTACAGTGGGAAGATTTCCAATCCAGGTCTGTCGGGTCAAGGATCCGATAGTCCGATAGTCAAGTTCCTCCAGTTGCTGAAGACTCTCAGAGACTTGGCCCGGGGGCAGCTTCAAAGCCATTCAGCCATGAGCCGCACGTCCCGGAAGTACAAGATCATGAGCTCTCGTGCCAGTACAGCGCATTTCGCTGGATAATTTCAATATTTTCCGTCATCAGTGCCTGATCCTGGTGAAAACAGAGAGACGTTTTCGCATCAGCAAAGCTTCTTGCGGAACCTGGCATTTGTGTAAATGTCTATGCTAGAACATCCTATACTGTAAGACCCTAACCCCTGAATCCTGAGCCCCTTACCCTACAACCCTGAGCCCTAAATGCAGAACCCCAAGTCCTACCCTGAACCCTAAGTCCGAAGCCTTAAACTCCATAGGATATAGCCCGATATGTCTTAAACCCTATACCAAAGTTGGCTTTTGATCCGGAGGAGCCGCCGCCCATGATCGGCAATGAGGCCTCGTCCCGGCCTCGCTTTAGTTTCTGGTCGTTGCCGTTCGTTGCTTTTAGTGTTGGAGTTCATTGTTCGGTTTCACCAACTTTACATGTAGTAGGGTCCTATTTGGTAACCCCATATCAGGAACTGCAATGAAGAGTATAGGTAGTTGTCATAAACGGTCACAGGGGGTTTCGGGATTTTGGTTGTTTCGTTTCTGCGTGATTGGATGCTTACTGCACATACCCCGCAGCATACATATATATATATATATATATATATATATATATACACACACACAGGCAGGGTTGCGAAAGCCCCGGCCTAGAAGATCCCTTACCATCCCTTACCCTTACCCTCATCGCAAGCCCGGGCATGTAATTTACACCTCAAAGTCTCAGTCAACCATTCCCGACTGATGGCCGATTACTCTCGGGAGGTGCAGCGGGCGCGGGAAGCACAGAAGGAGTGTGTGCCTCTTCGTCAGCTGTGATTCCGGGTCACCAGCTTTGTCACGGATGTACCGTAGTATCCCAGCATCTTCGCCGTCAGTTATACTAGACTATAGTGATCTTCACTAGTTTGCCTAAAGCTTGCTGGTATTATTCACCTTCATCACCACCCTCGCGGTGCTCACTGCTCTTACCAGCAGCAGCATCGTCAACATCATCCTCACAGAATTTACTTCAGCAACAATGGAACGGCGACAGAGCGGCAGCAAAGGCGAGAACGGGACCATAAGCGAGAACAGGGCACAAAAGGCTGTTGTGATTTCGGCTGTGACTTTTGCTTTGTTGTTGAGTCCAGCAGCACCGCCCCGGTGCTGAAAGCGCGGCGCTCAGGTTCCAGATTCAGTAAGTGGAAGCATTGCTGCGAATTCGAGTTCAGAGCACATTTATTGGTTTCCGAACCATGGTCAGTGTACCGTCCGCATGCCTCGTTGAACTCGTCGCCCTGAGCCTCGCTGGAACATCTTTTCGATACTACTCGGTAGGTAGCAACACCTGCACAGGATCCGTCACAAATCCTTTATCCCATCCTTGGACTCCATGACTTGCCGAAATCCCGAAGGCGGTGCCGAGTCTCTACGCTGCACAACCCCTTAGACCCAAACCCTTTGGTTTATAGGCCCCATAAAGGAGGGCTACAGCTCCCAGCCCAAACTCCTGATCAGCCAGGGAGCCCGGCCCAAGGAATAACGCTTTAGGGTTCAGGGCTTTAGAGTTTAGGATTTAAGATTCGCATGTAGCGTTTAGGATTGATAATAGTTGAGTCCGAAGCCCTGAATCTTAAGATTTGCATAAAGAAGCCCTAAACCCGTATAAACCCCAAGTCCTAAACTTGAAACCTTGGCTCTCAATCACCAGGAGAGAAGCGTGAAGGTCCAGGACTGCTAACGCAGAGGCCTATCTGCTTCTGTGTTCTTCTTACCTTTGGTTAGTAGGGAATGGAGGAATGGGGTACTATAACTACTATTACGACGATTCTTCCATTCCCTACTAACCAAAGGTAAGTCTTGGGAATTAATTGTTGTTGGTTGTTGTTGTTGTCGCAAAGCTCCAAGGGATTATTGGCATAGTATGTTTTATAATGCTTCTAAGGGCGCTTCAGTCTGCTTGGTGATACCGACAGTTTGCGTTGATTATAGACCGAAACCCTAACCCTAAGCCCCAGTACCTTTGAGGATTCTAAAAACGAAACTTTCTAAACCCAAACAGGAACTACAACGAAGACTTTAGGTACTGTACATACTCGAGCAGCCAGTTTCTGGAGGTCTTGATGACGAGCAAGCAGATCTCCTCCGAGGTTCAGAAATGGCTAGCATGAGGTTTCCAGCCTTCTGGCTCCATACAACTTCTCCAGTTCGAAATGCTTCGGTACATGTTACATTTTTCGCATTCGTAGTCGTGCGTCCAATGGGCCTTAGGTTACCACACACTAAGGCTTGCCTACATTCAAGCTGGACTGCACCCTAGCTCGGAAGAACCTACCAACTACTCCGATTGTCTCCCGCAACAACTTCGACTTCGCGTAGTACTGTCGCGCCTGTATTTGTTGCCTGCCCGAGGAAAGCTCTCAGGAGTCGGGTTCAGGCTTTAGTTGTGTGGGGCTCCGTTTCCGACGGCAGGCGCACAGATATCCTGGCGAGACTGAGCTGGTGCTTACGACTTGATGCCTCTACGGCTCAGGCTTCAATCTAGGGGGCAGCATTCACATGACTACTCTGACTAGTTAATTACGGGTCGCAGCTACAATAGTGCCCCATATACAACCTTAACACCCGAAGACGGCAATCGTCTAGCCTACATACCCGCTACATCCTCAACACCGGGCGGTGCGTGCAGTCACGTGCTGCATGCTTGTCGTCAAGCGACTTGTGGTTTCACATCGAGCGTCCGCGGGGCGTAAGCTCGGGCCTCAAGAGTAGCTGTAGAAGGAAGAGCTGCAAGAGTGTTTTGTGACGTTTTAGAACGCACTGAAGCGATGATGCCGTGGAGGACCAGTAGCTTAGGAATCTCATATAGAAGACTGAAAAAAGACTAACAAGATTCTTTGGGGTTCCATATCATGCGGTTTTTGATGTACACCCCAAAAACATATAGCTGAGCATAAGGAAACCGTCTATAGAACCCTAGTCTAAGTATGAAGGCCTCTATCGTAGGAGCTCCAGCGCCCGGCGGCAGCCATCTCACCCCTCCGACAGGAAGCCGAAGGATGCAAGAATAAAGACGAGACCCCCGCCTCTCCCCTCGTGTAGCGTTTCCCTAACCTCTACAACACCCCAAGGTTTGGAGCAAGCCCGGTCAGGGTGTGGAAGTCTTGCGCCCACTGCACCTGGGGTAGTTGCACGTTGTGTCTGCGCGTCAGGAGCACATGTCGTTTGTCTAGTCGTATGTTTGTGTGGGTGCTTTTGCGTGTGCCCGTGTGAAACGAACACGCATGATGTCTTGTTCTGCTGTTCTGCCCTGTTTCTTCCATGTCCTGTCGTTTGATCCCAGGTCGTGCGGCATTATCTCATGTCCTGTTTTATCTTTGTACGTCATATCGTGTCACGTTATGTTCTGTCGTTGCCCCGCTGTTCCATGTCCGTGTTTGGTGTTCCACCTCAATAATTAGGATGACCGTCTGCAGGGCTGGAGATTGCTGTGTGGTCACGGTCGGTTTGCCTTCGTTCAGGTAACGCTCGCGAAGTGAATGTTTTTGAAATGATCTGCTTATCTATCACAGAGAATCACTGTGAGAGGCGTAAACACATATATAACATTGATACATGGTCTATGGGGATTGGAGACGTTTCGGCTGCAGGCCGATGGCAGAACTTTCAGAAAGTCAGCTGCTATTGCGACAAATTCATCCCGTTCGATGCCATCAGCAAGGAATCGTTCCTTTTCAGCCCATGCTGGAGCAAAGCAATCCCAATCCGGCGCTTGTGGTAGAGCTCTCAGATATTGCTTGCGGACTGTCACTCAAATTGACGACGCCGGTGCAGCCACAAACACGCAGACCTTCATGTAGATTACCGTACGGAACCCCGAAACGAGGCCACACCCCTTAACCGTAAACTACCCAAGCTCGAATCCCTTAGTCCCACAGACGAAAGCACTACGCCACCCGCTGTGCGATGGGCCGCAGTGCATCCTGCGACTTGATCACCTGGCCGGAAGCCTAAAACTATTTAGGTTTTGTCGGACATAGGACATACAGGTCGTAGGAACAGGTGTGAGTACCATAATAGTCTGTGTGTAAGGTTCTGTACAGGGCGTGCTGCTGTTGTTGCTCTTTTTCCGCTCGGAATGCAATTTGTTGGGGTGAAGGATAAGAGGTGACCAGAGGAATCGCGAAAAAGGGCTGACGGCATAAAGCGGAATGAAACACAGTGATTCTTTTTCTGGGCTGTTGAGGTCTTGGGGAGTCGTGGCCTTCCAAGACGGGTGATGAGCGAAGTCAGAGATCGGTGCAGACTAGCAGCATGTAGGCTAGCTGTGTGATTTCGACATCGCCAAACCTCCGAAGAACTCCGAAGAGTGTGAAGCCCGCAGTGCTTAATTTGTGTCTCAGAAGCATGAGGAGGTGTTTCAGTGTTGCAGACTAGCATCAATAGCACGGAGGCTTAGCAATTGACCAGAGACGGCTCTTTCTATTTATCAAGCCGGGCCGACATCCAGAATCTTGTTCCAATGTCCGTGGAGCGTGCTGGTAGAGCATTCATTGGCTGCAAAGTACCTTGTTTGGTAGTTCAACACTGGTTAGCAAGCCGAGTTGAAAGTATCCGCAAGCGCCAAATCCAAGGCGTGCACATGTGGCCAAAGATTGGAGGCATGCGGATGATCCGGATGTAGGTGGTTTGACGGTTCAGTCCAAGGGAAGGTTTCTGGATTTCAGGAGGTCTGTATCTGCGCAAGAGCCGTTGGTCGCTTGCGAGTAGTGCCGAACGCGATTCTGTACGGCGCGGATGTGTGTGAGCTGTCGTTTCACACTCAACCTGCTTGCTTACACAACTTTCCCTTCGGGTCGTCCTCAAGTTCATGGAAGGTGACCCAAGGCCCTAAACCGCGGACCCTGCATGCTATTGTTTCTGGTATTACGATTGTCACGGTCATTGCGAATGCTACAATTACGACGGTTATTGCCGTTATTGCTATACATAGTATTGTCAGCATTACTATTGCTACTCACACAGTAGACTAGTACTGTCATCGTGATTATGATCGTCACGGAATATTTTCGACCACTGCGTTGTGTCCTTTGCAAGGACACTGTTGCCTGAAGTGGGTCGTGTCGCAGATGGGTAGCTACCTGTAGTCTCCGCTCCGTTTCCTTTTCGTGGTCGATGTAGGATCCTATATGTAAACCAACCCCAAAAGGGAACTACAATGGATACTATCGGTGGAATCTAGCCTCGGAATCCCTCTGTAGGGTCGTAGAAGGTAACCCCAGAAGACTGCAGCTTTGCAGAGGTCTGTCACACCTTCGTGTCAATCACAGGCCCTGCCAATAATCCCACGCTGCGGAGCGACGAGACCGACGGAAATTACGATAGTAATTTGTAGTGATAGCAAGTAGTAGGAATAATATTGCCAAAAATAATGGCAATAACAATAATAGCAGTAGTAGTAGCAGTAGTAGTAGTAGTAGTAGCAGCAGCAGTAGTAGTAGTAGCAGTAGTAGGAGGAGTAGCAGCAGTAGCAGCAGCGGCAGTGGTAGCAGTAGCAGCAGCGGCACTATAGAGGCAGCAGCAGCAGCAGCACCGGCAGCGGCAGCGGCAGCGGCAGCGGCAGCGGCAGCGGCAGCGGCAGCGGCAGCGGCAGTGGCAGTGGCAGTGGCAGTGGCAGCAGCAGGAGCAGGAGCAGGAGCAGTAGCAGTAGCAGTAGCCGTAGCCGTAGCAGTAGTAGTAGTAGTAGTAGTAGTAGCAGTAGTAGCAGTAGTAGCAGTAGTAGCAGTAGTAGCAGTAGTAGCAGTAGTAGTAGTAGTAGAAGTAGTAGTAGTAGTAGTAGTAGTAGTAGTAGTAGTAGCAGTAGTAGTAGTAGTAGTAGTAGTAGTAGCAGTAGTAGTAGTAGTAGTAGTAGTAGTAGTAGTAGTAGTAGTAGTAGTAGTAGTAGTGTTGTAGTGATAATGTGCTAGTTCCGTATCCGTCCTTTCTACTAAAACAGCATGCCCCCAAATCCCTACAGGGCCCCAGTATTATCCTTGGTAGCCCTGGAATGGAAATGCCCTTTGGATGATTTGGCTGGGTCAGGCGCCTCCAATTTGCCCCGGAGGAAGCACGAGGCCGCGGTCCCGCTGCCTTGCTGTGGTCTGCATGTGCAACACCGCATCCAACTTGTTAGGGCGTGAATAAATACTTTATTTCTTTAGGGATTCTATGTTTTTTTGCCACTACAAGAGCCGCATTCCAAAAGTAGTTCGCTAGTCCATTGGGTTGCAGAACTCCTTGATGTGCGCACAAGTTTTCGTCGTGAAGTTTCTTAGGACCAGGAGTGGCGGCTTCTTCGTATCCTGGTAATGAGGATCTGACCAGTGTTGGTTCTACATATTATGTACATACACTTACACATTTATTTGTATATATACATATATATATATATATATATATATATATATTTATACTTATAGTGTATAACACAGGGTATATACTTTGTGCAGCTCCCATGTGTCTTTTCGCGTCACGTGGACGGCTGTTGTGCATGGAGGCTGTTTCAAGGGAACAGCTCTATCTAAATACGTAGCTGTCTTTAGTTGCGCCAGAGCTCGACGAGGAAGATCTTTACGATTGTAATTCAACATCCGCTGTTGTGAAGTGTTCTGCGCATGCTCTCAGGTGATCGGAAGACTGTCGCCCTGGCAGTCAAACTAGATGGAGAGGCACAGCTTGTTGTCATATCGGAAGTACTATGGT